AGAACTGTTTACAGCGTGTGTTAATGACTCATTAGATGTAGCCAAACCTATTCATCTCAATCCCATTGTTCAAACCCCCTCATCTGAAGATAGCGCTTTTGGAGCTGCCAGAAACTGTGACGACACCTGCTCACCTGCTCGGGTGCGCTCCATGCAAGGGTTTAATTGGAAGCAGAGGATGAGAGAATGAAAGACAAGCAGACAGATTTAACCGTAGAGAAAGGAGATTGGCGGAATAAAGACGAGACAGTTATGTACCCTCAGTTTTTATGAATCGAAAACTCCTCTTCTGCTTCCTCCTCCTACCTCGTTCACCTATTCCCCCGCGTGGAACTAATCCACCGCCGGTGTCCACCAAGACGTGGGAATGACAAGAACAAAAGATAAACCCCATTCACTCCCTGGCACATTGAGTTAGAATGGCAGCTTGTTGGATAAGGAGGAGGCGAACAAAGAACGGGACTGTAAAGAAAGAAAACACGGGCGTAAATGGAGATAAGGAGAGTGAAGGAGAGGAAGATCCCAGGTTGATGTGGACACGGGAGGAAGCAGACAAAAGGAGGAAGAGGAGCGATGGGATGCAGGGGAGGTCAATAAAGACGGGGAATGTGCAGGAGAGGAGCAGATTGGCACGTCACCGCGGACTTCGGCACAATCTGCAAATTGCTGCTTTTATCTGAAAGCGCGCAACTCGGCCTCTCACTCTAAACACTCTTTGTTTCCTCTTTTTCTCTCTCAATCCCCCCGTCGCACAGCGTGGCTCTGCCTATCGCTGTCGGTAAGAGAAGGCGCCCTGCATCTTTCAGGAGGTTATCAGCGCTGTTAATTACAGAGCTGTCATTGATCTTTCCATATGTGTACGCACACAAGGATTTAACTGATAGGAGTGTGTGGAATTTGTGTTTTATGAGAGTTTTATGAGATCTGGGTTCAATTTAGGGGTTTAGACATTGACCTAAAAGGTTGCCCTCCAGCACTTTTAGTCCTCTTTGACAGTAAGATATTTACAAGAAGCCACATTTGTTTCATTACGGGGGCATGCGTGGTAGCGGAAAAAGAGAGAATCAAAAGCCTGACGGTCGGACAAAGCGAATCAGAGAAGGAGACAGCCACGTAGTAGATGTCTTTATTCCACATTCACAGCGGTGACATCGGATTGCAAAGCACACAAAGCGCAGCACCTCATTTGTTTCCGTGCCCCGGCCTCCCTTACACTAAACGCTACTGGGTGACTGGCTGACGATGTGCCCCAGAGTCATGATGTAACTCCTGGAAACTGATTTTCCGAATAGAGGGTCATCTATTTTCTATCATGCACTAAAATGAGGTTACAGCGTGTCAATGCTTCAGCTGGCATGTCGGGAGATCAGATATTGACTCAAAAAGGGTGATGTAAGGTGGGGAAATGGAGGTGAGTCTCCTTGTGATGCGGTTAAAGTACCAACAAAGGCGCTATAATCAAGACTTGTTTAAAGCTGTGCAGGGACCAAGGATTTATTTGGGTGATGTGATGTAATGTGCAGTAAAGCTTGGGTGGGCTTCCTGATCAAGAGCTTGAATGATTGTGAGGCTGTGATATGCTGCTGCTAAACATGGAAGTGTCTCACTGCTCTAGTTCCTCAGCCCTGTGGGGACTGAGGATTACTGACGTGGACATTTTATCCACCTCATGGAAGACAACTCACAGTATGTGTGCAAGAACATGTCATAAGTTTGATTTTTATGACCTTTTGAGTGCCTTTTCGCTTAGGAAGTAGAGATGCAGCCTTTTTTTTTTTTTTCAAACGTTTATTTTTACTGTAAATTGAGTTTTGAGATGACATCCTTTATTGATGTCCAAATTATCCAGCGTGTCATCGAGGAATAAGACTGGCATTGTCATACAGTTCTTTCATTGTTACGTGTTTCTAAAGCCTAATATACACCAATCAGCCACAGCATTAAAACCACTGACAGGTGAAGTGAATAACTTTGATTATTTTGCTCCAGTGGCAGCTGCCAAGGGGTGGGATGTATTAGACAGCAAGTGAACAGTCAGTTCCTCAAGCTGATGTGTTGGAAGCAGAAAAAAAAATGTGCCTTTGACGAGAGCTGAATTCTGGTGGTAGGACGACTGAGTCAGAGCATCTTGTGGTGTGATCCCACAATGCAACTGTTAGTTTTGCTAAAAGTTGTCCGAGGAAGGGCAACTGGTGAACTGGCAACAGGGTCACCGGCTCCCCAAAGCTTGTTGTTGTTGTGCTTGTGGTCAGTGCCACAGTGGAGCTACTGTAGCACAAATTGCTGAAAAGCCGAATGCCGCTGTGACAGAAAGGTGTCAGGACACATAGTGCAAAGCAGCTTGCTGTGTGCGAAGCTGTGTAGCTGCAGACTGGGCAGAGCGCCCACGCTGACACCTGCCCAGCGCCCAAAGTGCCTACAATGGGCATCAGAACTAGACCACGGAGCACCGGAAGAAGCTGGCCAGGTCTGATGAATCACGCTTTCTTTTGGGCTGCCGGGTGCATGTGCATTGTTTACCTGGGGAAGAGATGGCAGCAGGAGGCGTTATGGGTAAAAGCCAAGCCAGCAGAGGCGCTGGGCAATGTTTGTTTTGGTATTACTCTTACCACCGATTTAAACACTGCCGCTGACCGCATACACCCCTTCATGGGAATGGTACTCCCTGATGACTGTGGCCTCTTTAAGCAGCATAATGCACACTGCAAACACTGTTCAGGAAGAGTGTGAGGAAGTCTGATCCATAGCAGCTTAATGGGGCTTTAAGGTTCTGCTGCTAACCTGCTGGTGTCTGATACCACAGGACACCTTCAGAGGTCTTAAGACTGTTTTCACAGCATAAGGGGGATGGATCCAATATTAGAAAGATGGTTTTATGTTATATGGCTGATCGGCGCTGTGTCAAAGAACTTAATTGTTGTCTGAAAACTATTAAAACACATGAATGAGTCACGCCACTGCACTACGTGTACGATACGTGTACGAAACGCTAGATTACATTTAAAGAAATATTGAGATACATAGTAGGTTCTGCACATGGTTTTTCTATCATAAACAAGAAGTAATGACAGCTCCATCATCCACCCAGAAATATCTAAGTGGTCAAACCCTGATAAGAAGGCCGTCAGCAGCACTAACATATAACAATTTATATGTTACCTCTTTGAGTTTCGGCTAATGTCAGGTTTTATGAAGAGGCCGGGTCGCTGCCGGGTCCCTCCAGACAGACGAACCCTGACCAGGCAGCAAGGCACACTGAACAACCTGAAGAAGTCTTTTTTTGGTTGCATTGTTATAGACTGGCCTGTAAATAGAAAGTTGGCAAAGGCAAACGGATTTGTGCATCATTTTACTTCCCTGCAGATTTCCTGTAGGTCAGCGAGGTCTAATTTCCAGGTTCATTTGTGTCTTCAAGGCACAGATTTTTACTGCCTACAGTCGCGCTGATTGTTTTTCTGCTGATTGTTTTGCTGGTATTGTCTGCTGCTTTTTACTGATAGTGAATGAGCCACGGCTTGTCTTCATTAACAGAAAGCCTCCAGGAACGCCAGACTGAATTCAGTTCAGTTTATTGCTGTGTGTTGTCTGTTTGTTTATTTATTTATTTAATAAAACTATTATATAAATCCAAACCCCCTTAACATGGGAGATAAATAATACAATTAATACAACAATTGCCTTAAAATGTGAGGTGGGGGGGGAGTAGGAATAACAAATTACTACAGCATGTTGTAAAAGTGCATTATTTCTAACTGTTGGCACTCAGAAGTCTTTATAGTGAAACTGTGAATTAGCCAACTCATTATTAACACATTCTTCATTTAGCTCCTGTCATGACTTATACTCTTACAGTGTTTTTTGTTGCATTTTTTTCCCTAAAGCCGAATTGTTATCAGCTAAATATTCAACCTTTACGACCTCAAACTGTGATTCCTCCTTCATGTGCTGAAAAATTCCAGCAAATTAACAAAACAGTTCCCTTTGCAGTAACTTAGCACTTTGTATGTAGTTGTGAAAAGAGAAATGTGTGTTGTTTTATCCTAACAGAGGTACTGGGAGTCTGGGCTGGGCAGTATCATGCTGTGCACGGTAATACCGGTGTAATGTTAGGGTATGATATGGAACTGAAATATCGCGATAAAATTTGAGTGAAACGTGCAAACGCAGTGCCGTTGTTTTGGTCCGGTCTCATGCACGGGGAGCATGGCGGCGACCGAGGAGGAGGGCGAATGCAGTGCATCGACCAACACAGTAGGGCTGGACCCGAATATTCAGTCGTTGTCCGCGTAGCAATTTTGTGATTCAAATATTCGCCCGCCACCCGACAAATTGTCAGCAAGCAATTTGTGCACTATTGATTCTTAATGCACATCAAAAACAGCTGCATGCTAAATGGAAAATAAATTCTTTTTTTTCTATTTGCACCAATAAAGTTGTGCAGTTTTGAAGTATTTTGTCAATTATATCGTCAGTTATTGCAAATTTTCTCATTTCTGTCCTGATGAATGTTTTTGGCCACATCACCCTGCCCTACTGTTATGAGTGTGTGTTTTGTAGCATGAAACTAAACCAAAAGGACCATAATAGAGAAATGTAATTTCTGACCACCTGCATCAGGTAGCTCCGTTCAAGTTTCTCCACTACAGCAGTGGTACTTGTCGCATGTAACACTGCATATTTAATTTCTGAGCACAGGAACACTGTGACATTTTCTCCAGCAGTTGTTTTGGTTTCAACACTAGCCGTTTGTCTTGCCCTTCCCAAACACTAGTGCACCCACTTAACAAAATGAGCGTAGATTGAAATGATGGTGTTTTGAAGAGGTGGGCGGACAAATTAACACCTCAGTCAATATTTGAGAACGGCAACACACTGCGCAGCATATGTGCAGCGAAATGCAGAAAGCACAATTACAGCGAATGTGTATCCGGCAGGAGTGTTTTGTTTTGCATCCAACTGAAATGAGTCTAAAATTAATTTTTTCTGTCTCTTTTTGGCAGCCATGGACGCACCCCTGAACCTGACAGCCAGCGAAGTGAATCATCGCAGCGCTCTTATTTCCTGGCAACCACCAATCGCAGAAATTGACAACTACATGCTCACCTATACGACAGCCGACGGCAGCCGGAAAGTAAGTGACATGTGCAGCGACTGTCTCCTGCACGCGCTGATACTATATATATACTTTAAACCCACGACTGTTAACATCTGCAGCCAATATGAGTTTCCATATGCGGTGGTTCTGGTAGACCTACGGAGCATCCATCACCGGCAAACATTTCAAATAGATGAGCTGTACTTGGTTTATCCGTTCTCCTGGAAATAGAGCTGCACACATGGAAATGCCTCGTTGTGTTTATGCACAAAATCGAATCAAATCATTACGCGAAAGTTGAACAATGATGAGGGAAAAAAATCCTAATGCACAATCACAACTTCACGACAAGCACGTCACAATTCAAACTTTCTCCTTCGGTCATGTAATCCCTTGATGTGGAGCGTGCACACGTTCAGGGACGCACACATGGATGCACACTCAAGGGAACTACACAATGAAATTGCCTGTCCGATAGAGATATTACTCTAATGTGCCTCAGTAGAGACATTGTTTATTTTGATTAAACGTTTTGATGTGGCTGAGTAATGGTAATAAAGCACATTAGTAAGAGCTGTGTGGTCAAAACACATACACAGATCCATACTAATGTCGTGATGATCTACCACAAGTGTCTGCCTCACACAAACAACACACACACACACACACACCAACCTTGTAAGTGTGGCACTGCTGTGCGGTTGACCATCGGGTGTCACTCATGCACAAAGAATGCATCACTAACTCTGCAGATGATCCCTTTTTAAAAGATTTTACGATACCAAGCAAACAGAGTCCTTCTTTCTTTCTTTCTCTGCCTGTTTGTCCTTGTCCACAATAATGTTTTGACTTTACACAAACTCCAAATCAATATTTTATGGGCCATTTCCAAGACGCTGCATACATTCGCACGTTTAATTCACACAGGAATTAAACTGAATGTGGTTTCCCTCCTACAGATTACATATGAGTGTAATAAGTGTGCATGCCAGAGCTGCACAAAATGATGTTCCAGTATCGATATCACAATGTGTCACATAGTGCAACATGAAGTACGGCAAGTTAACTTCAACACATCGTGCATTTTTGTCTTTTTCTTGTTGTCTGTGACTCATCTACGAGACAAGTCCATCACACTGGGCATCATTAACTCAGATTCAAATGGTTCTTGGATGTGCAGGGTTTGTTGTTTTTTTTTCACAAGGCACAGAGTTTGTTGACATGCAGTTCACATGTTCACAGCAAAATGAGCAAGAAACAAGAGAGAGAAACTGAAAAGGAATATTTGGTTGCAAAAAAAACCCTCAATGTCAGTTGTATGGAAATATCAGCTACACAAAGCATAATGTTGACCAAAAATGGGTACTTTGTCTGTCTTCAAACTGTTGGCAGCACAAAAGGCAACACGGCCAATAAGTTGGCCATTTAAATAGTTCATGGTGAGTGTAAATCCAGTTTTGAATGCCATCCAAAGCAAAGAACTATTTCAGCTACCTTTGGCACTATAGGAAAGAGAGCCTGCATGGCTTTTCAAAATATTCTTTTTCTATTTTCTATGCAGTTTCCCTAAAAAAAAATCAACCCAATCATTCTACAAGAAATAATTCTTTTCCAAAAGTTTATTTATGTGATTTCTGCATCACCAACTAAATACATGTCGGGCTGCCATAGCAATGCGACGTATACAGTGTGTGATACTGTAACTACACGGCTTCATGCAGTGATATTAGTAACGCACAACTCAGCGTGTATGCAGATAAAACACATTCCCTCAGCTGAGAATCTGTATCACTCATAAAGAATCGTCAGAAAACAATTTGGTTGAAGGAAGTCGCTTCTTCAGGCGATTTAAATATCTGAACATAACCTGCTGCTGACCAGGTTAGCTCCACAGCTACACTGCCATGGACCATGTATCACCTTCATTATACTGAAAACCCACTAATCTTGCTTCATAGTACAGCCCTCTGTTCTCCTAATTATCTTGTAAACATGAACTCATGCCTCATTCTAGTTTACTGGATCAGGAAACGAGCAAATGCCCGCTGCGGAAAAGTGAACTTTCTAACCAGAGACATCTCGACATATTATGCTGATACAGAGTTTAACCTGAATCCATTTATTTTTACCAAGATGTTGAATAAACATGTGTTTGACATACTCCTCAAACAACCTGATATGATGCAATCAGTGAGAAAGAGGACACTCGGTCTTCTACACCAGTTTAGTGTGTATGATAATGACGTGTCATCTAGTTGCCCATAGAAATAAAGTTAATCAGCGACAGCTGGCCTGACCTGTCAGAGTCCATGTTTTTCAACCAGTGAGCGACGGTCGGTGCCAACTAAAAAATGAGAAACTGCTACCTGAATATTTTGGGTGCTGCTCTTTGGTAATGAGAGCGGAGCGATAGGGGAAGAATTTTGTTTCACTCTGAGCAAATCTGTGTATTTTGACAGCCTAGCTGCCAGCTTTATTTTAGCCAATATCAATCCATTAAAATATGCCTGGATCAGTCCTAATACCGATCCCCAACATGGGGGCAGACATCCTTGCTGCTAACCTCATTTTACACATAGCTAATGAGCCGCTGCATCGCATTAAGCAGTTTAAAACCCTCCAAATGTAATATCAGTCGGTTTAGAAGCCTTACACTTCATTATAAGTACAAACAAAACCCTGTTGGTCCAAAGCTAGCGAGCTACAGTTTCTAACACAAGCCTGTTTACTTAACTTTCAGTCTGGCAGCAGCTCAGTCTCTTAACTCCTCCGTCAAGTAAACATAGAAACTGACCTAAAATATCATTTTTCTTCCTTTTAATTAAAAACTAATTACAAATTTAAATAAACACTGATATCAATTTTGTCAAAATTTTGAAGGTCGTTAATTATCAAACATTAATTCAGTTACCTTAAAAAACTCTTCGAGATGTGAAAATCTATTTCAGATTATTTGTTCCCACCACATTTGGTCGACTTCTTTTTAAATATATTCAGCATCTTGCTTCAACCAGAAATGCCACATTTTGAATTCATGTTGTTCAACAACTTGTGAGTCACACCACTTCTGCACAGAGCAACACTGATCACAGCAGCCACAGATTGAAGTGCTCCTTGTGACATTTTCCTCCGGTCGTCGCCACTTGAGGTCTGGCTTGGCTGAAAATATGCAGCTGTATTACCTCAGCTGTAATCTAGCCACATACTGGTGAGCCTTACAGCTGTTCAGCCAGCTTCCCCCTCTTACCAGGATAATGGAGCTTTATAATTCACGCGAAGTAGCTGTGAGATTAATTTCCTATCTGATTAACGTTTCCTGAATAGTTTGTAAATGCATGTATCACTGCTGGTTACGTGCGTGCCTGGAATGATAAAGTTCTCACACAAGGACAACCAAACATCCGACCGCTCAACTACACATACGCAATCGATGGTAAGCCTATGAAGGTATGTGTTGGCCTTGATAAGACAGGCCTATTCGCTTGCAATAAAAATCTTATCTTGACCCTGAAAACCCGGTGGGAAAATGTCAGATCCTCTGAGACAGACAGACACCATTTACCAGCTGCTTCCCTGCATAATTCACGGGGACACATTGCCTGGAAATGTGTGATTTCTTTTTCCAAACTGGCTGAATATTTCATTTTTACTTGTTCATATTTAATGTGTATCCAGGCCAAACCGTAACACACAGGCGCACAAACTCACACACAAACACGAGTTTGTGTTCATCAGCTGACGGTGGATTTGAGTCACATCTAAGAAACTGATGCCACATGAGGCAATCTTACAGACGGTCAACGCTCCTTAAGACAAGCTCAATAAAAGAGGATTTGTGTAAAACAGGAGGAAGTGAGTGTACTGTAGTGTCGTGACTTTTTCACCAAAAATAGAAATGTTTGTTTTCCTGATTGCTTTGCAGTTTCTCAGCCTGGCTGTCCGATAATCGTCTTTTATCTTGTTCTCCCGTCTGAGTCGCCCTCCTCCTCCCAGCTCCCACCCATCCATCCTCATCTGCTCTTTTTTTTTTGGCTTCCTAGTTCCTCTATTATTTTTATTTTCTTACTCTTTTTTTTACACTCACACTTTTGCACGAGTGAAAACACAAAACCTGCTCCATTGCCAGGGGAGGCCTAACTGTTACTAATGCAATATTTAAATTAATCTAATATTCTTTTTTCCGAACCTCACCTGTTTGTGCTGCCATGAGAATAAAACAAGCGATCATGTGTTTCCTGAAAAAGAGCAGCTTGAAGGTTCCTTTGCTGCCGTAGGTCTTTAAAGAACTCACAAGCTCAGTTCGGTGTTGTATCAGTGACTCGAGGGGATTCTAATGTAATTTATTTTTACCCTGAGGTTTGTACTGAATGCACATTAAATTATTACTTTTATAGAAGCTAATTTCTTTATCAAACATTGTTTCATGCTTGCAGTAGGTGTTATGTGAATAAATTCGGTCCTGCGTTTGTGCACTAGGAGCTGATCCTGGATGCGGAGGACACGTGGATCCGACTGGAGGGATTGGCTGAGACTACAGAGTACACCGTCAAGCTGCAGGCTGCAAGAGGACTCGACACCAGCGCTGTGGTCTCCACTACCTTTACTACAGGTGCAGCATACAGACATTCACTCGCACACACACGTAATGTATTTGTATTCTTTGATCTAAGTTTGGAAAGGGATTCTAATGGGGTGAGTTTTCTTGGCCCCAGAGACTTTTGCACTGCATTTCGCATTATAGTCACCGTAACAAAGGTGCGAGAAAATGGGTCCCCGAAGTCGGCCACAATTTTCATCTCACTGCCTTCCATTAGGCTGCACCTGCAGAGGGGCTGAACGGTGTGCTCTAATCTCTGGTGTGCTCAGTGTGGAACAGACAAGTGTTAGGACGCATCATGGAGTTACTAATGACCATAGTAGTACAGTCGTCCTCGGATGTATTCATAGCCTCCCATTGAAGAAGGAAAAAAACAGCTGTGACTGAAAAAAGTTGAAATTGACAAAAATAATAATAAATAAAAATTTAATGGAAATCATGACATTGCTTTGAATTGTGGTACAACAGAAATATTAAAAAAACAAAACAAAACAAAAAAAACAAGCATGATGGGACCTGTGAACTAATATTTTATTGAACAACCCTTTGAGCCAATCACTGCTATCAGGTGTTTTCTGTAACTCTCCATCAGACTTCTGCACCTGTTGACAGGTGTTTCCATTCTGGTTCACTGCTCATCAGCAAAGTGCTCTCATTTGTCCGAGACAGTTTTTTAAATTATTATTTTTTTAACCACAATTCTAAAGCAATGTCTTATTTCACTAAATTATAATTTAGCAAATTTTTATTTATTATTATTTTTTTCAGTTTCTACTGATTTGAGTGACTGTTGTGAATTTTGCCTTTTCTTTAACGGAAGAGTATGAATACATTTGAGGACGACTGTATCACTGAAAGATGCACACGTTATTTAGTTATGGCCGACTTGTTAGCCAAAATAAGGAGCAACATTTATATTTATTTGTGGTTAACTTTTTGTTCCACTGAAGGTCCGAGTCAAATATTCACTTGCCTTTTAGCTTTGTTTTGGTTTATTCCAACTCCTGTGGTTAAAAACTGTCTGTTTAGCTGCTAAATACAAACACTCCCTCATGTTATTTATCATTGTAGGGAGCATAAAACCATATACCAGTGCTTTTTCTGTGGTAATAGCTGCCTGCTGCATCAGGAAATGTTGGCGCTAACAGTGAATTCAAATGCCTTAAAAGCAAAACAATCGTCTTAATGTTACAAAAACGCTTCGTAGAGGAAATGGTTTGATTTCATCCGTTGTTACTGTAGAAATAATAAATAATTAAAGCCGCAAGCGGCGATGGACGGGTCATCGCCCTACGCTTGTCGGCCTTTGCGCACGGCGGGGTGTGGGGCAAACCTGCTCCGGGCGGGACTGTGATCCGGCATGTGGAGTTTGGGGCAGATCGGAGCAAGTGTGGCCTAGTTACGAGCCACTTCCTGTTTAGTGTCAGGATGTAGTGTATAGTGGGAAAAGTGTCCTGAATGTGTTTAAAGACAGCTTAGGAAGGTACTTCCTTTAAAAAAGCACATTATGTATTTGGGCCTCAATAAAGAAAAGTCATACTACAGCATGTCGTTTTTGTCAAAAAATGTCACGTTTCAGAATGTTCTGAAAACGCGTCAGGGTGTAGTATATAGTGGGAAAAGTGTCCTGAATGTGTTTAAAGACAGCTTAGGAAGGTACTTCCTTAAAAACGGCACATTATGTATTTGGTCCTGATTAAAAAAAGTCATACTATAGCATGTCGTTTTTGTCAAACAAACAAACAAACAAACAAAC